CAACTTGACATTGTGACATTCGGCATTGTGTCATTTGTTCACTTGACAAATGTGTGATTTGTGTTCGTTTTGCAGCCACATTGTTTGATTTGTTGTCGTTGTATTGTTGTTGTTATTGTTTATGCATTGTTTGTGTTGAACAAATATTCATACTGTCGGCAGCAAGCAAAGCACAGTGCTCCCTTTCCCAAGTGCTCATACTTCCGTTACATTAGGGCGGGTCGAAAACACAAAATTTTTGATACGAAAATTGTATAGGTCTTAAAAGGTGCTATTTTAATCCCTTATTCTAGAAATGAAATCCTGTTTCTCTGCTACAATATCTTCGGTCTGCGGAATGAGCTTTAAAAATTGAAAATTTCCCAAATTTTTACAACGACTTGTGTAGATCAAATCCGGAACTTATTTCCTACCATTAAGTCAGAAAAAAATAAATTGGGCAAATTAAAAGTAAGTAACATCAATATTTTAATCAATTAATCTTTCTTTCCTACCTAATTTATTAATTGATTAAAATATTGATGTTACTTACTTCTCATTTGGCAAATTTACTTTTTTATGATTTTATTATAGGAAATAAGTTCCGGATTTGATCTACACAAGTTCTTGTAAAAATTTGAAAAATTGGTATTCCCACTCTAGTTTTAAAATTTTCAAGCTCATTACGCAGACTGAAGATATTGTCGCAGAGAACCAGGATTTCTTTTCTGGAATAAGGTATTAAAATAGCAACTTTTAAGACCTATACAATTTTGTATCAAACATTTTGTGTATTTTCGACCCTCCCTAATGTACATATATGGCTACACCAAGTACATACATGCAAGTAAAATTATGTTATGAAGTGTAGTGCCTTTGGGGCAGTTAGTTTATCAACAAACATAAAGGAATTTGACTTATTTGACAGCACAACAGTAGTTGTCAAAATATTTGCAAGCGTAAATAAATTAACTAATCACCTCGTAAGTGTATATGGCTACTTAATTTAGTAGTGGTTTTAAAGTGTTTTGTTTTTCGTTGATTAGGGGATGAAATAATAGATGGAGGTTTACAAACGTGATAGGTTATTTAAATGTTATGTAACATAATGGAGTTCAGCAGTGGAATTTTACAAATCGCAAGGAAGTATTTTACACAGGTATAGTGTTTATGATTTTGTATTGAACTCCTGTGGCTTTCGCGTTGCATATTTTTATGCGATTCATTAAAAGATTTTTAGCAATAGAAATTTAGTCTTGTGATTTCCAAACATTGTGCCAAATTTAAGAAGAATACTTCCAATTTTAATTAAAAATTGTAACTTTTTTCAAAAATTAAAAATTTAGGAGAAAATGGATCCCAATCGAATGATTCTAGCCCATTTATATTGTATATAGATGCAGCTGTATCAGAACCACATTCTCCTTTCCAATAACTACCACTTTTCGAAATAAGTTCGATTTTACTAACATATTTATGTAGTTGTGTCGAGTTCCAGGATGTCAGCGTAAGCGGCTCCAAAGATAAGCGGTATGAGAGGCTCAGGTTGCATAAGAGGTTCCACTATACATCTCTGACTTTTTATTTTTTAATGTTGAAAAATATATTGAAAACAAATTTGTTTTTCAAAGAAAAGTGTTAATTAAGAAATGCATTAAATTTGTTATTAACAAATATGTAAACAAATGCTGTTTCTTCAAATTGACATATGTATGTAGTTTAAGTGCTCAATGGCGAAATATTTCGTGGTTTCAAGATGGAAGGGATTTCATTTTGTAGAGGAAAAAATTATCTAGAACTACGCTGCGACTAATCACTTTCGCATTATCGATTGCTATTTATTTTCGTAATAAAAGTTTGAACGAACGCTGGGCTACATGGCGTATGAGTAATAAAATTTCTTTCTCATATTGCTTACAAAAAAAAATATATGATTTAATCGATTGCTAAGATTACGAAAAAGCGATTAGACGGAATGTAAAATGGACCTACGACAACAATAAAATTATAGAAGTACTGATTAATATGATCAAAGGGGGATCTTGAAGACCTTATGACAACAGCTAGACTGGAATGGGATTTGAGACTGTTCGCTTGGGTCTGGGCAACATCAACATATTTTCTTTGCGCTTCTGTAAGAGAGGTACGAAGGGTAAATAAAAAAATCAATTTTAACAGCGTGGGGTTACAGTGTGTGCAATAACGTTTCCAACGAGGAAATATTGAATGCAGTCGTAGTTAATTCAATGATGGTACCTCTTACTATCCCTGGAAATGCTTATACTGAATTTACAAATCTGCAAGGGGGAGTTCGAAGTAGATACAGACAAGAGAGGTTAGGTACATACTTTTTCCTGGTCCCTCCCATACTAGGAAATCTATCATTTATTTTATATTATAAAAAGTCTAGGAGTCGTTATAGACAGTAATGGCGTGAAGGTTAAATGTGGAAATGTGGATGATTAAGAAGACCTCAAATGCTTTATAAACTTGCAGGAAAACATTCCCCTGACTCATGTATTGGATATACTCAGCAGTAACGGGACCATTATGGTTGCTTGGTGCGGTGACCGGGGGTAAAAAAAGACGTAAGCCAAAAGTTTAGAAGGCATATGAGGAAATTCTAAGCGTGTATCGGACATACCTAGTTTCGGCGAAGAGATCGGCACTGAGACTATGGGTAGTAAGGCAGTTAACCCAGTGGTAAGTTTGTTATAGTAATTTCCGTGATGTACTATCGTTAATCGGAAAATCAGACTATCCCGTTCATTATGCCAATACTAAAAAGGGTCACATGTAATATAGCGCTATTATGCTTGCAAGAGCAGTCTTTGATCTAATCGCAGCAACTACTATTTCTGTACAAA